TCAGATACTGTACAATGAATGAAGGGGAGCAGTACGCATGTTTGTAATATGAGGGTGTGACAAAGTGATTGGTGCGACGCAGCGGAGTCAAAGTCCAAGAACATAGCCGGGGAATGATGCAGATGGAGTGCACGCCACCGAATACTACGCAACTTGATACGCCAACCGGTACCGGCAATCGTGCAAAGGGCCGAGCGTGGGTGAAACAAGGACGACCAAAGTGGATACTGGCCAAGAGGAGAACGCACAGCAGATCTGGGCCTGTCCAGATGGAGAAGCGAAGTGTGATAAGTGACGCCAAGTGGCATAATTGGCGACAGTCGCGGGTCAAGCTAGTCACGGGCCAGACTGCTCTCCGGGGTCTTTGTCAACTTCAATTCACAATAAATATGTCCATCTGCTCTCGTTCCACTCTCTTAACCCATCTTTATTATCTTTCTCTCCACTGTTCTCTCTCCACACTCGTTCGTTCAATCGTACGATTCAAGTGCCTTTTTCTTCTTTTTATCCATAGAGAATTATTATTTCCCCGCTACCTCTCTCTTCCCTGCAAACGCCCCCGTCATCGAAACGACCCTACTCACATTCAACAACTGCTAATCCCCTGATTCTCCCTTTGACGCGTACACCCTCCGTTTGCCTGCAATGAGGGCCTTAATCCGTCCAGTTTCAATTCATGCCGCTTCTTCACCCATAGAAACTATCGTGTTCTTTTTCGTGCTTGCCACGCTTGCATACTTCCATGTCCTCTCCGCCATAAAGCATTCCTCTTTCTTTGCCCCGACCACTCTCCCACCCTTGCGCCCATCCCATGCACTTTGGCGTAGCAATGAGTGGGTTACCGTTCCAGAGACTGAGTGGTATGACGCCCTCTCCCACCGATCCTCTCGCGCGTCTGCCGTCGACCTTCAGCAATTGACTATGTCTTTTGATCCCAAGACAGCAAAGAAGGCGCGCAAAGGTTTCACTTTTTACATTCCAGTACTAACTACCTCATGCAGATTGCAGAGAATTCGATGCTCTCTTCGCAAGTCGCTTACTCTTTGGAAAACATGACCCACTTCCTTACGCACCAATTCCCTACGTCCTCTGGCAATACTTTTACGAACATCTGCCACTCGGTTCAGAACCAAGACGGAGAAGAAGCTTGTTTCACCTCTACTTTTCCAGGTAACCTGAAGTCGGAATCACTGATGCTATCATTTGCTGCGGGGGTCGTGAGGACTTCGTCAGCGCTCTCACAAAGCAAGGCACTTTCATTTCGGAAGATTTCGGCCCCGTCAAATATGTTGTTGAGAATCCCGAGCAAGAAGCAATGGCAGCGATGAAGAGTGGCAAATGGGTTGCGTATGCAGCACGCACTTTAGTGGTTCGCTTCTGGGATCTCACGAAGGTTAGTATGGTTCGTTATGGCTATTTGTAGAGGACTTTCCAACACTACTTTTTCCAGAAAGCGGACAACCTTGACATCCTGCTTGTCCTTGCAGGATATGTATTGATGCATACAACGTTCATCCGTCTTTTCCTGGCATCTCGCAGCCTCGGCTCCAACTTCTGGTTAACCACTGCGATCCTCTCATCGTCGACTCTTTCTTTCATGGTTGCATTGCCCATTGCTAGTTACCTTCGCATCCCTCTCGATCCTGTCAGCCTGATCGAGGCACTTCCTTTCCTGGTCTGCACAGTCGGATTCGAGAAACCTCTTCGCCTTGCTCGCGCGGTTTTCGGTAATCCACATCTCATACAGCCTGCTATTCAGGAAGGTCGTCTACGTGGTCAGATGAAGCCAGCTCCAGACCTCATTGTAGAGGCGCTCGATAAAGCTGGCAATATTATCGTCCGGGACTATGCTCTCGAGATCGCCGTACTCCTCATTGGCGCATATAGCAAGGTCGGCGGGCTAAAGGAGTTTTGTGCCCTCGCTGCTCTACTCTTAACCGTGGACTGTGTGGCAACAGCGACGTTCTACGTCGCTATTCTTAGTGTTATGATCGAGGTACGTAGCAATCCTTGACGTCACGTGCAATGGGGTTTCGGGGACCTTTTCCTGTCTGGTGATTGGTATTTACCTCCTTATTGTCTTAGGTACGCCGCATTAAGATGTTCCGCGCCTTGTCATCGCGGAGGTCATCCATGACGGATGTCAAGCCCCCCATAATTGTGAATGGCCGAATCCAGATGCCAAAACTCAGCCTGCGTCAGCGAACCTCGGCTGCTTTGTTGGGCGTAAAGGGTTCTTTGCTCAGGTCTCAGTCCAAGGAGAAAGGAGGAAAGGAGGAGAATCCCGTCGCTCGCTTGAAGTTATTGCTGGTGTGTGCCTCCCCTCCAGTCATCAGAGCATCAAGTTGACCTCGTCGTGTAGATTGTCTCATTCCTCTCGCTCCATTTGCTGAACCTGTGTGCAACGTTCACCCCTGGTGCGGCTGTGCCCCACCTTCAGCAGGTGCAAAGCCCTCGTTATGCTAAGGATGCTTTACCTGGCTTCCGCAGCGTCGACATCACCAGCCTCCCTGTTGAACAGTCACTCTCTGGCCTTGCGACCCTTAGCAACGGAACTGAGTTGATAGTGCGCATATCAGCACCGGTTCACATTCGCATGGTACCCATTATCTCGCCACTCCTTCATAAGGAGGCCAAGGCCAAGGGACGCGATGCGGACGATATGATTGATAGTTTTATGTCATCATGGACTCGGCTCGTCGGTGATCCCATCTTATCCAAATGGATTGTGCTACTTCTCGGTGTCAGTGTCGCACTTAACGGTTACCTTCTCAAGGGCATTTCCACAGGGACTGGCTCTACTCGCAGAGTCCAACAGGCTCAGGCTGTCCGGTTTGACGCCGTTGACCGAGCTCAGGAGAAGCAACTCGGTTCCCCATCCTCTCTCCCTGCGCCTATCCTAATCAACCCGGAGTCTCGTACAGAAGATGTTGCTGTATATTCTGCTGCGCCTCCAGTCGTTCGACCTATTCCTGTGCCAGCTGTTCCGAGGGCACCTTCTGTGAACGGAATCTCGTCACTCTTGGATTCAGTCGATCAGAAACTCAAAGCGCAGCAACCTACATTCATGACAAGCGACGAGTCAGATTCACAAGATGAAGAGTCCGGTACAAAGGAGACTTCAACTCATATACGTTCACTGGAAGAGTGTATCGACATCTTCGAGAATGGTCCTCGCCCGGTCTCGGTGTCGCTCTCGTTACTCAATGATGAGGAGGTTATTCTCTTGGCCCAGAATGGTAAAATCCAAGCGTATGCTTTGGAGAAAGTTTTAGGCGATCTAGAGCGCGCAGTTTTCGTTCGAAGGGCATTAATCTGTATGTGCGCTTAACTTTTGAAAGAGGCTTCGTAGCTAACAAGGGCTTGCAGCTCGGGCGTCCAAAACCAAGACGCTTGAGCACTCCGACGTACCGATGTCACACTACGATTATTCCCGCGTCATGGGAGCCTGCTGTGAGAACGTTGTCGGCTACATTCCTCTTCCCTTGGGTATTGCGGGCCCCCTCAATATTGATGGCGAGTTGTACCCAATTCCCATGGCGACAGCAGAGGGTACACTTGTGGCTTCAACATCCCGTGGTTGCAAAGCCCTCAACGCCGGAGGAGGTGTTGCCACTGTTGTCATCTACGATGGCATGACTCGCGGACCTGCTATCGATTTCCCATCTGTTGCTCTCGCAGCTGCTGCCAAAGCGTGGATCGACTCCGCAGAGGGCAGCGCGATACTGAAGGAAGCGTTCGAAAGCACGTCGCGCTTTGCAAAATTGCAGAAGCTTAAGGCAGCTATGGCTGGTCGGACGTTGTTTGTACGGTTTGCAACGACCACTGGTGATGCAATGGGCATGAACATGATATCAAAAGGTACTGAGAAGGCTCTGGAGGTAATGAGCAAGTACTTTCCAGAGATGATCGTCCTCGCTCTCTCTGGTAATTATTGTACCGACAAGAAGCCCGCCGCCATTAATTGGATCGAGGGACGTGGCAAGAGCGTTGTCGCAGAGGCAATTTTACCAGGCCATATTGTCAAGTCGGTGCTAAAGACTACGCCAGAGGCATTGTGCAACCTCAACACGAAGAAAAACCTGGTCGGCAGTGCGATGGCAGGCTCCGTCGGTGGTTTTAACGCTCATGCCGCAAACATCTTGACTGCCATATACCTTGCCACTGGACAAGACCCAGCACAGAATGTAGAATCATCTAATTGCATGACGCTGATGGAATTGTGCGTTTGGTTTTCTACCTCATCTGACTCGTCGCTGACTAGCATGCTTAGAACGAACGAGGGTAAAGATGTTCTTGTCACCATAACAATGCCTTGCATAGAAGTCGGCACAGTTGGTGGTGGTACCGTCCTTGCCCCACAGCAATCCGTATTGGCTATGCTAGGTGTAAAGGGCGCGCATCCTACTGTGCCAGGTCAGAATGCACAACGGCTTGCTCGTATCATAGCAGCTGCCGTCATGGCAGGCGAGCTCTCCCTCCTTAGCGCCCTCGCTGCTGGCCACCTCGTCCGAGCGCACCTTGTCCACAATCGCTCGCAAATGAATACGCCATCGTCTTCGCGACCGATTACACCCGGACCCGAAACCCCCCCGAATGTGCCCTGGATTCCAGGACCTCCCAACTCGAAATCCACAACGAAAGTGACCGTAGGGCCCTTGACAGCGTCTCCGTCTACTGGGTCGCTGGCTGGTTATAATATAGATCCAAGACCCTGAGGCACAGGAGTTCGTTGTTATCGTTTCATCACCCCTACTGTCTATGTTTGCATTATTGCTTTACATTACATTTGTCATACTGTACTCCCATACGCTTAATTGGCTCGAGACGGGTGTTTTATTTGCACACCTCGTACATTGCTTTCATCTACTACGAATAGCGAACATTGTCCGGCTTGTATAAGAGACTGGAATCTGCAATATACAAAATTGCCATTGAGCCTCGGAGGGACATGATCAGCTTACGGGGTCTAGTCACCCAAATTCAGTTCACTCTTAAGTGCCCGCCTAGCTCAATCGGATAGAGCGTCAGACTCTTATGGCGGGTATGGTCGCACCACGACCGCAATCTGAAGGCTGCGAGTTCGACCCTCGCGGTGGGCTACTTACCATTTTTGGATTTCTGCCCCACTGCAAACCTACATTGTAGCAATTTTTTTTGGGAGCGGCGAGCCACAAGGACACTAATTTATTGACTAATATGACTACTACAGTATGTGGCACGGAAACACTCAAGGCTGAGCGTTGAACGTTGAACTCCGGCCAACTTCACCTGTGCGGGGTAGCAATCCGTTGAGAAGGCTTCGATCACCTCCACTCTCAGCGACGCTGAGCACGTCCCAATTTAAAGCCGATACCACCAGCCATCGACCTCGCTTCAAATCGACCATCCGCTCTCTTATGTTCCTCCACCAGCTTGCATAACGCAGTGAGGGTCGTCCATTTGGGTTCATAACCCAGACCGCCTTTCTCCGGGGATTCTCGAGCACGCGAATCATCCCAAATGAGGTGTACCATGGTAAGGGAGAACAGCGAGGGCTGGAGATTGATGAGATCCCCAGTGGGGGCTGGTACAAACCGACTGAGACAACAAAGAAAAGGGTTCGATGACAACGCTGTCAAAGACCGCAGGAGGTGTAGCGCCTCAAATATGTGGGAGAGCAAGAGCATGGCCGTGGCGGACAGCCGAGGGAACACGGTCTGCCCATTAGTAAGAGTGGTGAGGACGGTGTAGGCATCTCCATAAGTGACGGGCGGGCCAGCGTCTACTATGCCGAACGCTTGGCCGCCGACATCAGGATTGGGGAAGCCTCGCGCCATCTCAATCAGACGCTGTTCGTAGCAGAAATGTGCCAAGGAAGCGTTCTCCACGTAAATAAAATTTTGGAGAATATCTTGGATCCAGGAGGGGTTGACCTGCCGCGCGAGATATGCACCGCACAAGATGTCTCCCCCGGTGCCGTAGATACCGTTCCCCGGTCGGAGACACCCGGTACGAAGTTGGCCCTTCCCGGATGGCAATGGCGTCCGGTCGGCCGCCCGAACCAGCCTTTCAGCCCTGAGCTTGGACGCGGCATAGTTCGAGAACATTTCTTCGTGGCGTCGAGGCAGGTGACTGTCATCGTCGTCGAATGTCTGCACCGAAAATGCGGGTTGTTTCTCCCAGGGCCAAAGCCACAGCCGCGCGCGGCGGATGGAAACCGAGCCGCTCGAGGTGTATACGAGGACGCTTACGCCCGTGGCCCGTGCGGCATCCAACACGTTCTGCGTCCCATCGACGTTCACCTTCTCGGATAGGCGCAAGAGTCGGGGGTCGCGCTCGTAGAAGCGGATGTTGGCCGCGGTGTGAAAGACGGTCGTCTCGATCTCGGCAGACGAGCTGCCGACAGGTGTCAACGGCCAGGGTGCGCTGAAGGCCGCCTGAACCTGCTCTCGATCGGAGATGTCGACGAGACGAAAGTCGACGTCCTTGGCCAAGCTCGTCGTCAGGTCGGGGCGCGTGGGGGCGCGTATGTCCAGGACTCTGATCTGCTTTGGGTGCTCGCCGCGCTCGAGCAAATGGCGTACAATCCAGCCACCGAGAAAGCCAGCCTGACGAGGAGTCCAAGTTAGTAGCACGTCACCTGAGCCAAGGCTTGGCTGACATACCCCGCCGACGACTATATACCGTCTTCCTGTCCTCGGTGGGAGGAACATTTTCGAGTCTAAACTTGCTGTCTCTGACTTGGCCGCTGCTTCTAAAGCGTCTCTTGCGCTGAGCCTATGTGGGGAGAAAGCTAAGGCCACCTCATGGGGCAGCTTCATGAGTTTAGCATCGTTCAAACGAATGTACAGGTACAGGAGAAGCCCCAAAAAGAGAAAGAGGAGGGCGATTGCGGGGCTCATTTGTAACTTACTGCAGGATACCCCTGCCCTGTTGGTCAGCTCACTACCGTCGTCGCTTGCAGTTTAGCTCTAACTTCTACGTAATGGCGTCGTCCAATGAGCGCTCATGCCAACAGCAACCAAATCCACATATATTGACGCGTCCAACGACCGCAAAACACATGTACAGATTGGATCTACAGATTGAGCATGTAAACGAGAGAGGTCCCTAGGCGGGAGGCGGAGGTGGTGGTGCTGGTTCACTCGGAGGCGGGGCAGGAGCCGCTGGACCACCAGCACCCACAGGGGCGGCATCAGAGCCAGCTGTGTATCCCTGAGATGCATAATACTGGTTGTATTGTGCCATTTGGCTTGCTTGCCACTCTTTGAACTCCGGCGAATTCACATCGTAGCCATAGGCAGCCCTGGGTATTATCTATCAGGGGTGACTCGGGTCCTTGCAAGACATGAAACGTACCAATACGCCGTGTAGGCGTCTAGGTCGGTAGGAGCTGGCGCAGCGCTTCCTGGGCCGGCCCCATCGGAGGGCGGTGGGGGTGGTTGTTCACCGGGCGGTGGCGGCGGTGGCACAGCAGATGGAGGAGGGGGGGCGTAACCCTAGGAAAGTAAGCGGATCAGAAAAAAAGTGGATGAGGTCGGACAAGCATCCGATATACGGAGCAGTGTACTTACACCCATCATACCATAAGAGGCATACTGCATTTGGGCCTGGTGAAGCTCCATCTGTTGTTGATGCAACATTGCCTTGACCTTCGCGTACTCCCCTCGGACGACCTCAAGCAGGTCATCAGTCAGTGCCTTTGCGCGTGCGACTTGACCTTCTTCGGGCCCTCTAAAGGGGCCGTCAAAACAAACTTAAGACGCCAAGACTGAAACACACGTTATGTGAATGTGCATAGGCTCTTCTGACTCCTTCCCTGTTTCCTGATCCACGAACCCTGACCCTTGGCCTTTGATCTGTACGCGAGTTCCCGTTTCTTGCTGTATATATTTGACAAACATGCCCTGCACGGTTCGTAAGAAACGCCTTTACCTATGTCGAGCGACCGGGCACTTACAGTAGGGCCAACAACCTTGGCGCGCACGTTGAAATTACGGATTGACTCCAAGCCGATGAAGATTTTCTCCTCAGGCCATTTGCGCTAAGGGGACGAGTGCGCAAGCAGCCCGTTATCACACAAAGGAACGCACCTTTTCTCGCTTTCCTTTTTCCTCGACAAGAGACCCCATGTCGATTGCAATGAGATCATTGACTCTGTCAATGGCCATCTGCAACATATCTTGGCTGTTCGCGGATATGTGTAGGTACAACGGAGGGTCTTTCTCCGTAGCCTTTGCGCGATCAGGGTACCATATGCCTTTCGTGCTAACCGAAGCGCCTGTTTCGTCGTGTATCTAAAAGAAAATGGACATAAGTTTTCGTGAGATATGTCCGTCGTGGATGGAGAGGAGTGACGCACCTGTTGTTGTGTGGAGCCTTTGGTCAACATATAACGATTTCTCACGTCATTGATGTCAATGTCTTGAGTGAAATCTCCATCATGTATGTCCTTGGGTCCGAGTAGCCCGCCCGTGCCCCCAACAGCAGAATTGCTGTATTGAGCTGCGATTTTGGCTGCAATGGCCGCGGCTGCGGCAGCAGCAGTAGATGCATTCTTGCCTTCGTCCACTTTTGCAACCTTTGCGGGAGATTCAGGATCGTCTTTTAACTCCTCCGGTGCGGCCTGGTCCCATTTTCGTTTAGAGGACATTGCGGTGAACGAGGACAGTAACTTATGAGTGGTGTTGGTGTCAGGTGAACGATGTGTATTATATAATCTGTGCCATGTGACCTTACTGTACAGAACCAGAACAGAAACAACTCATACAACCTCTACAAAGTTAGCAGGAAACGAACCCTCTCGCCCTTCGAGCTTACCCTTCCACCTGTGCAAGGAAAAGTCAGCACACAGTACCCCAGCCAGCCAAGGCACTTACCATGTATCTGTCGAATCACTCTTCTCTGTAATAGTGATGACCTGCCCTTTCAAAAAAGACAGATCTCCCGGCTCAACAGCACGAAAGTCGAATAGAGCAATCGCACGACCGACACCCTCCCCTTGTGTAAGTGGCCTGCTGAGCACACGATCGCGCTCGGTCTCACGATACCTCGCAGCCGCAACATCAACAGCCCGAGAACCTGATCCAAATGGGTTTTCTTCGTCCTCGAGCGTCGGTCCAAAGGATGCTATGTCATAGCCATCTCTCTCACGTTCTGCTTGTGAGTAGAATGGATTTGTGGCGCTTGCTGCACTGCTCGATGACCGGGAGTGCGCGGATTGCAGTCGCGTGTGGGAACTAGTGCCCATGGAAGAGTCGAGCGATTGACCAGGAGTATGTCGCGTACGCGAGCGTTCAGTGGGAACAAAGTCATTTTCGAAGCGGGTTTCGAAAGGAGAAGGGTCATCGATTCGGGGCGCATGGTCATAGTCCCACGCTGAACCGGAAACGGCCTCTTCTCCAGGGGGTCCGAAATAGCTGCCTGAATTCTTGCGTGTGCCCCACGAATCTGGAGGAAAGGCGGGAGTAGTAGATGATTTACGCGGCTGCTTGCGCAACGATTGCGGGACCTCGGCGTTGGGACTTGAGATTCCACCAAACGCATACGACGAGCCTTGTGAGGGTCGGTCGTCTGCCACCCACCCGCGACCGCCAGGTGGGCTGGTACATGCTTCAAGGGTGCGGATCAGAGGCTGTGCCCAGTCTGGTGGCGTGACACTTCCGCTCAAAATTTGCTTCGCGCTAACGCTCGAGCGATATGCTTGCGCATTCGCATCCTGTCGCTCAACGATTACGGAGCCCTCGACTGAAACACCACCGAAAAGGCCGCGCGTTTTTGAGTAACTGTACCTGAAAGGAGATGAGACCAGCATTGAAGACGAGCGTAGCATGGTCTACGAACATTGCAGCAACTTTGCCGCTCGTGCTTAGAGCACCTGAGGCTTCCCCATTACGTCCCAGAGGCCCGACAGCCAGACTCATGTTACCACCGAGAGTCAGTGAGCCTGCAGCCATAAATGACCTCTAGTAAGAAGTGTATTAGCAGGCACATTTAGGTCCCCAGCATGATACGCGGGTTAAGGCACTCACAACGGCCTGAAGAAAGTTGGACCGAGCACGCGTCAATTTAGTCAGCATCGTCCGATAGGATCGAGGGGATGACTGACCGAGCGGGAATT